GTAAGGGGATCTTAACCCTTGACTTGGTGTTGTCAGCACCACGCTCAGCCAGTGAGCGAACCGGCCATCCCTATATGGGATCCGAACCCGGGGCCTTGGTGTTATCAGCACCACACTCTCCCGAGTGAGCCACGGGCCGGCCCGGGTGATAGATGTTTTTGATGTAGACTCATCCTTGAATTCCTGGGCTGAGTCCAACTTGGTTATGTAGCAATTCTTAAACACTGTCAGATTTGGTTTGCTAGAATTTTATTTAATAGTTCTGCATCCATGTTTAAATGTGACGTAGGCTTATAATTTTCCTTTTTGTATTTATCCTTTCTAGTTTTGAGATCATAGGCACATTAGCTTCATCTAATGAGCCTGGTCCCCTCCCCTCCCCCTGCCCTCTGAAACCCTTTCTTTTAGTTGGCTTAGTTGGCTTCTCTGAACCTCCATTTCTGAGCCTCCATGTCTGCTTACTGTGAGGGGAGCCCATGCCCAGTGCCTGACACAGGCAGGGGCTCCTTCCCGAGAGCACATTTCCCTTCCCCGAATGTGCCAGCTCCCATGAGCTCACCAGGTCCCGGAGCCTCTGCAGGAGCTGCAGCACATCCACCAGCTTCTCCTCCAGCAGGGACAGCCGCACCCTCTCGGTCTCCACCAACTGCAGCTCCAGCCTCAGATGCTCATTCTCCTCCACCTTCCTCTGTAGCTCTGCCTATGGGGAAAAAGGGGCTCATCACTTGCCCTGCTGCCCTTTCCCCCATACTCATGACACCTCCCCAGCAAGTACCATGGCCCTCCTTGACCTTTTCACAGAGGTCATCTCATCTGGTCTCTCCCAGCCTGTTAGGTGACTGGGCAGACAAACTACCCTGTCTGCCTGAGGCCAGCAGTGAGGCCCAGAGAAGCTGAGTGCCTGGCCTAAAGCTGCACAGCGAGTTGGACTGATGTAAGAGCATGCATATTTTGTTCTCTAGTCTAAGAACTTTATTATTCCTTCTCTTCTCTGTCTGGTTTCTATTCTTTTTAATTAATTTGTTTTGGTGGCAAGCAACAGAAACCAATCTTGCTAGTTTAAACAGAAATGGAATTTAGTGGCAGGCTAATAAGCAGTTCTCAGAATGGACTGGCAGCTGCCAAACCTCAGGAATGGGGCAGCTATGGGGGTTGAGACAGCAGGAAGTTCTCAAGTCTCTTGTCCTGGGCCACAGCTGAAAAAGACCCTCTCCAGCCATTTCCCCCACCTCTCCCAGGATGGAGAGCCCCAAGAGAGGGGCCTGAAAGGCCCATCCAGGGGGGCCAACAAGACCACCAATCCCACCAGGATACCAGGAGTTGACAACAGGCAGTCACAAGGTGTCACATGGCCACTCACCTTCTAAAGTGGGCATGCCAGGCACAAAGCAGTGCCCACCCTTGGCACCAGGGGGAAAGAGAAGCAGTGGAAGGTCTGGTGCCTTTGGGTGTTCAGGGTCCCTTCTGGGCTCCTAGGGGAGAAGGGGAGGCTCAGTGCCTCCACCCATTATAGGTGGGACTTGAAGGCTGGCTAATTCTAGAATGCCCCCAGCCCGTTTCCTTGAAATTTACTTAGAAATGGTGTGGTGGCTATGCCCTTTGGAACTTGGTGACTGCCAGTTTATTTCTAGATGGCCCACAGCACTACACTTTGTATATATGGTAACCCCTCCCCTGCCAAAAGGCTATGACTTCCCTGAGGGGTGCCCAGGCAGGCAAGATCAAGGCCTCCAGGAAAATAGAGTGATATGAAAACGACCTTAAACAAATAAGATCAACACAACACAGGAGAGTGCTAGAAGAGATATGCTTCTAAAACAGGGATAACCATAACTCATATGTATTGAGAGCTCACCGCAGTGCTCGCCCATCTGATACATGTAGCATAGTATTATTATTATTATGCCCATTTTATAGATGAGGAAACTGAGGTACAGAAAAGTTGAGTAATTTTCCCAAGTCACACAGTTAATACAGCCAGGATTTGAAGACAGGCAGTCTTGCTCTGGCACATAATTACCATGTCATGCCAGTTGGCATCAGCTGCCTGCTCTGGTGAGTAACATTTCTTCTGAATCACTTTCTTAGAATTTTCAGGGCTTATCACAGGAGGGGTGCACCCACCCGAGGCAGGGGCTCCAGAAGTTGGAAGTGGTGCAGACCCTGTTTCACTGGGAAGTTTAGAAGCAGCCACACTGGCTTGCCATTAACAACATTCATCTTTGTTCCCCTTTGCAAATCTCAACAAAATTTTTGCATGATCTTGGTCCTTATCCATTTATTGCAGTGCTCAGGGCCTGCTTTTTTCTGTCTCGGTCTTTGATTTGATATGCTCCCTTGCTCTTTCCTCTCCCCAGTGACTCACCCAGTGGCCTCCAGAAGATGGTGCAGCATGGCTGCCTTGGCTTAAGGGGGCACACTGGCGTGGTTGAAGGCATAGGCCCTGGCCCAGCCCACCTGACCTCTCTCAAACTGTTCCCTACCCCATTGAACTCTTTGAACATAAAATGAAACAAGCATGTCTGCCCAGCACATGATTCATGTGCAGTACATGTCAGCTGGTGTCATTTTTAAAAGTTATTATTTAAGGATAAGTTGGCTGGTTAGCTCAGTTGGTTAGAGCATGGTGCTGACAACACCAAGGTCCAGGATTCAATCCCTGTACCAGCC